CCGCTCGCAGCGCGACGCGCCCGAGCGGCGCGGGCCGCGAGCGCGGCAAAATGGCGCGACGCGCGCGCCCATCGGGCGCGACGCGCGCGGCATCAGCGCGCTGCGCGCTGAGCGGGGGCGCCGCCGCTGCACGGGTGGTGGGCGTCGCCGGCCGCGCGCGAGTTGCTCCGGGCGAAGACTGGGCTCGTCCGCGAAGGAGGCAGCTGCCAGCGCGGAGGCGTGCGCCCGCGCGCCCGCGCGCCGCCCAGAGGAAGGCCCGGCGCTCAGCGCCGTCGGCGTCGGGCGATGCCCCCGAGCGAACGCGATGGGCGGGCGCGGCGGGGGGGGGGCGCTTGAGCCTCGGCTCGCGGGGCGCGGTCGTGGCTCTGCTGCGCGCGGCGCCAGTTGCCTTCGCGCTGGCCATGGGCGGCCTGTCGGCGCCGAGGGGCGCTGCCGCCGACGGGCAGAGCACCCGCGCCGCGCGCGGCGCGGGCTGCCCGAGGGGGGCGCGCGGATTGCCGCTGTGCTGTCGTCCGAAAACACGCGAAACATGCATCGTCGGTTGGCGGCCTGCGCGGTTTGAGCCGCGCGTGCGCTGCTGCGCCCGCAGATGGCGTCGCGCGCGCGCTGTGATCGGCGCGCGGCAAGACTGCGCGGCTTGTGCGTAGAAGGCTGGTTTCGGTTGGTTCATGGGTTTCGCGCGCCCGCGGCGGCCGAGCCGATTGCTGCGGGGCCGCGCGGGGCCCGCTGGAGTTTTGCGCGGGGCGGCGCGCGATGGGCTGCGCTGCCGTGTTCGGTGAAAGGGGCGCGAGGTTGAATTGCGGCGGCCTCGCGCGGAAGCGGGCGCGGTGTCGTCGCGAAGCCGACGAGGGCTACGTTGCCACTGCGCGGCCCGCGTGGACGGAGCCCGCGCCCCGGCCGCTCGGTCACTGGGCGGCTTGCTGGGGCCGCCAGGGGGCCTCGCAGAAAAATGCCCGGCATCGGACGCGGGCGCGGTCAGGTGCGCGCGCGCGCCCCGAGGCGCGTCGCAGGCAGACGGCGCGGAGGTGGCGCAAACCGCGCGAGTGGACGTCGCCAGCCGCGCGCGGCCCCATCAGAAACGGCCCGCAACCTAGGGGTCACCAAAGAGAATGGGCGCCGACCGCAATCGGCCTTCGCGCGGCGGCGCTGCGCAGACGCTGTCGCGCGAAGGGCGGGCGCGCGGGCGGCGCGGGCCGCTCGCGTTGATCGGGGGTGCGCGCGCGCTGTCGAGCATGCGAGGCATGCGTCGTGCGCATGGGTGCCTCGCTTTTTTGTCTCGGGCAGAGCAGGTGGCGCGGGGGCAGGGGCGATGAGATGCCCGCGACGGGGGCGGTGGCGCCGCTGTAGTAGAGTTGCAGCAGCGGGCGTGGGTTGGCAATGGTCGGCGCGCCGCGACAATATCGTTGGCCTTTCGCTGGGTCTACAGCCACGCCGGGTTTATGGCGCGCGCTGTTGCATCTGCGCTGGTTTGGCTTCGAGGAGGGGCGGGGGGGGCGTCGAACGCGTTTGATGGCGCCGCGCAGGGCTAGGGGGGCTGCCGCGGTTGGTTGCGAGCTCCCCTGGCGCTAGACTTCTGATGTGGCGCCGGGCTGATGTTCATGGCACGCCGCATGCAGGTCAGGGTATTTGGGCGTGAGCACGGCGCGCGGGGTCCAAGCGTTTGGACGTGTGAACGTTGCGCGCGATGACCAGGCCATGTCAGATGGGCGTGGCTGGCGCGGTCAGAATGAGACATGGGCCGGCATGAGTGGCAAACACAAGGTCGTTTATATGGGGCACGCAACGCCACGGCCCGCGATCGCGGCCGCGGCGCGCCATGTCTGGACAGTTCTGGTCGGGCGCAGAGCGGGGCGTCGAAGGAGCTTTGGTCGGGCGGCGCGCGCGGCGCCAGCGCGCAGGACGTCATGCGAAGCACGCGGCGTCTGACTTGCGTCATTCCAAGTGCAGTATGCGCTGGCACGGTGCGCGACGTAGGGCAGCATCCAGGATGCCGCCGACTGCCAGATGGACGAGGTGCATGGTCCTGTCGCGAGGCGGAGTCGGGATCGGCGCTGCGCCAGTGCGCGGGGAGTTTGGCGAACTCGCAGCGGCATTGCGTCCGAGCGCGATAGGCATGAGCGACCGATGGACCTGGTCGGGCGCAAATAGCTACATCGGAGAAGTTGTCGATTGGCGCGCTGAGCAGCGCCGCGCCAAACTTAGACGCATGAGTCAGCGATGCCAGAAGGGGGCCTCGGCAGCTGCCACGCGCCCAACGTCGCGGCACTTTAAGTTTGACGGGTCGCGAAATGTCAGGCGCCGCCCAAGTTCGACGCGCCGATTGGTGCCAAGGTTTCGGTCGGCATGGGTGCCGCAATCAGCGTTCAAATCAATTCTAGTTAAGGTAGCGCGCGGGTGCCAGAGCGAGGAAGGTTGGTTGAAGCATGCTGCGTCGGATAAAGCTCGAGCGCGCGCGAAGCATGCGCGCCCAAACCAACCCGATTTGAGAACGCGTGGGGCGCCTGCGAAGATCGCGTTGGATGTCGCGTACACTTCCGCTGCCATTGCGCGCGCAGCTTCCAGATCTCTGCGAGCTGACTGAGACTGGATTGCGCGTCGGGTCTGCGTTCGGGCGGCGTCGACTAACGTTTGGCGCGCCGCCCCAACGTCTATCGCGCTCGCGCGAGTTCGACCCCTTCCAGTGACTCGAAGGGGAGCAGCGCGATAGACAGCCCAAGCGCGTGCCAACAGAGCAACGCAGTTACGCGTCGTGCCTGCGCACCAGTGAGTCCAACCACTTGCGGCGAAACCTCTATCGCGCAGTTGGTGTTTGTGCATGGGTCATTAGTGATTTGGCGTCGATTCTCTGCTGGCCGAGAATTGCGGTCGCGCCCCATGCGCGGTAGTCTGCGTTTCGCGGGCGGCGCGGGCACATGCCCTAAGTAGTCAGGTCGCTCGGCGCGAACGGCGCCGCGTCACAGCGCAGCGCCCAGGAAACCTCAATGATATTGTGAAGCGCCGCTGCATTGCGAAAGTGCGTCGGCATGGGCTTTGCCTGCTTTGCCGCCAAAGGTGCCCCCAGGGTTATATCATGTCAAGAAACGGGCATGGCCGCGTGGTTCTGGGCCGCCAATGCACGGCGCCCGCGCAGGCACATCGGTCTTGTAACGTAGCGTTTTCTCCGGCCAACTCGAACTGCGCCCTGCGCTTGCGCTCCTGTTTGCGCCGGGAAACAACCGTGCATCCTTGCCTCTCTCGTCTTCCATGCAACGCCCGCCACGTCACTAGTGACACGCGCCAAACGAAACAACACAGGTGACTATGTGTTCGATGCCGGTTTGCCAGATCAGGTGCGTTGGCCGTTGATATTCGCTGTCTTGCTCGACGGAGCCAGAGGGTGGCCGTTGTTGTTCAGTCGTTTGCAGGCTTCTCTCGGCAACCACTAGCACTGCCTTGACGTGATGCGTCGGCTTCGCGAGCCGAGCGGGTCAAATCTGTCCGGTACGGAGTTTTTGCCGCATTTTCTTTTTCAGTAGCCGTTTGGGCTGTGCGGTGTGTTTTTTTCTTTCATGGGCGGATTCATTCCATGCCGCCGAAGCGAAAAGTTACAGTGGTTTATGTTGATGCTCCGTCTCCGTTTCGCCCTGCCGCCACCGCGGGCCCCATCTCGATGTCCAAGGGCGAGGGCAAGGGCACCTGCCTCGTCGGCCCGAAGCAGGAGTTCGGCGGAGTGAGGGCCACGGGCAGCACGGCACCGCCCATGAAGGAGGCGAAGGTCGGCTGCGGCATTTGCGGCGAGAAGGCCAGCATCGGCATGGAGTCAGCGACGAAATATTCAAAGTGCAGCAAGACTTTCGCGCGGACTTTCCCGGGATTGGGAGACGCACCGCAGCCAGTGCCACGACAATGACAGAGTGAAGCGCGGGTTCGACAACGCCCGCGGCCTGATTCACAATTCTGCCGGCGACGAACCTGACGGAGTTTGCGAGGAGAGCGCGTTCGAGAGGAGTGGCCTTTTCGAGGACACCATGTGGTCATACCGCCTGCTGAAAGAGAGCGTCGTGCCCGAGTTGCACAGCAAGCAGCCCTCCGAGGTCGACCTCGAGCCCGCGCCGTGGCGGGCGCCAGTGGCGCTCTCAGGAACTACCGCGTCCAGACCAACCCTGCTCAGCCCTACCCCGTCGTGAACATCTACCGCCGCAGGGATATCTACCACTCGGTGCTCTCGATGGCGCCCCAGTCCAGGGTGTCCCCCGAGCAGCCCGAGCAGAGCGCCATGCATATGCAGGCTACTGTCGAGAGCCGCGGCGTGGACCTCGAAGCCTTCTTCAGCGCGCCGAGTCACCGGGACATCTTAAATCGGATGAAGGAGACGGCAGGCAAACATCGCAGCGAAGAACAGGGCCCTGAAGGCGCAGTCGGCGCAGGCTTTGACTGCAATCGACGTCGGAGATACCCCAGCTCCCCCATCCTGCCCATCCTTGGCTCTCGCTCTGGAGGCGAGTTCGGCGGCGCCTGCTTCTTCGTCGACGGCCCCTCCGACAACCGCGCCTGTGAAGAGGCTGGACAAAGCAGTCAGTCGCTGGAGGTGGGCGCGACGTTGGCTGGCCCCCTGATTCTCGCAATTCGTCCTTAGTGGAGGCGTTGCCCACCGCGGGCTCCGAGGCGAGGGGCAGCGCGCGCGAGAGCTGCGGCGACGACAGCTCAGAGGTGGATGAGGCCGAGGAGCTGAAGCTGGAGAAGGAGTCCCGGTCGAGACTGAGGCCCGACGGCTACGCGACATGCATGTGTTCCGCGTGAGCACAGTACGCCTCCACACCTTTACATTGTCCATGTTACTCCAGTGCGTATTCGTGCGGCTACGTATATTGGTAACAAGTGATCTGCCCAGCGCATGCGAGCGTGCGTGGGTCCACACGTGTGGTGCGCACGTGCATGAGCACGCGCGCAAATAGAAGCATCTCGCGTGTATAGGGCATGGTGTTACGTAGTCTCCGGGCTCGGCCCCTGCCGGGCTTGCCATGTACAGCTGCAAGGCCCATGGGTTCCTGTGCGGCGCCAAGCTCGGCCACGCGATTCGTCAGTTGCGAGATCTTGTTCGCAAGGAAGCCGATGACCCTGCATTCGAGGAGGCGAGGGATTGGCTGAACCATGTGGAGCGGGCCAGGGTGGCGGGATATCTGAAGTACAAGGCTATTGCCACCGTGAATCGCGAAGATCTGTGCAAGCTGGCGCAGGACATCGGCAAACACTCGCCGAATACCCCCTCGACGCTCCAGCGCGCTGTGTTGGAAAGAGCTGTGAACTATTGGAATGCTGAGTCCGAGTTGGCGTCCAAGCGTGACATTGCGATCGAGCTCACCACGCCGTGGCACGAGGATGGAGGCGTGGAGTCGGGCAACCGTTTGAGGTGCTCGTCGCCGTGTTTGGCCAAGATGTCTTCATCGACGGCAGGGCGCGCTGGCCTCGTCAAGGACTACCTGTGCAAGGTCATCGAAGAACTACCTGCAGCTCAGCAAGGAAGGCCACGCGAAGACACTTGTGTTCTGCAACCAGGTCATTGTTGAGATCAGGGCTGCGCCGATGACCTGCGACCCAGTAATCGACGCCGCAGCCGCGGAAGTGATGTCGACGTTGCTGTTGGTGGCGACCATCGCGGGTTCTACGAAGGACGCGGTGCCCCTCAGCACTGTTGAAGCCATAGTCCGCGCCCGGCCTTGGATGCCCCATGCTGCCGCGTCCGCCATCATCAAGGCCGAACCCTACTGGAAGGGGGAGCTCGACGTCTACATGAGGCATTCCCCCGAGGTGAAGAAGTGGCGCCCGACGCTATCGCAGTGCATGACGGACATCGCGAGCACCCAGGATGCGCCGACTTTCGATTTTCTCGACCGCTTGATCGCTGACATGCCCACGATCAAAGCATCCCTGCCGGACGCAGAGTACAACGACCTCTCTGTGATCACCGGGAAGTCTCTGGACACTTACTTCGCGAACGCCATGGCCCTCGTGAAGGGCTCCGCGGGTGAAGCTACCGATGATGCCCATCAATGTGCGTGGGGCCTCCAGAAGGCCGCGGGTGCCATCTATACGGGGCGCAGAGCCAGTGAAATGAGGCTCTGGTGCTGATCAACGCCGCGAGGATGAACGACAATGGGAAGTTCCTCGTGGGGAGTTTCTGCAAGAAGCTCAGTACTCGCAGCAAGGGTATGCTGCTGCACGCGGTGGGCAGCTTGAGAGGACCCGATCCCTTGTTCACGTTGCGTCTGAAGATAGCAAGCGGGCGCTCCCGTCTTTCACTTCGGAGGCAATTCAGATTGTGACGAAGAAAATGGACGCCTTCCATGACATCGCCGAGGACGCGATGTTCGACTCTGCGCTGGCTTTGGTGCCCGCGTGTACGGAATGGGCAGACTGGCCTGATGCGTGCCCGAGCGGCCTGGGTCTCACGTCCGCGAAACAGCTCTGCCACCGTGTGAAGTTGGCGAAAGCGCTCGCGGGAGCCATTGCGACGTTGCACCACAAGGACACGATCTTCGACAACGCAGCGGCTGAAGCTGCTCTTGATCACAGCGTGGGCGCCTTCATGGGCCTCGTGGCGCAGTGCCAGTGCATCAGGACCGACCTCGACGATCCGACCAACGCTTCATCGATCACTCGTGGCACCTGGATGGAGGATTTGCTGGGTAACAGTTTGGGCATGAAAGAGCTGCTCTTCTCCGCTCGGCTGGCCATGTACACCAAACTGTTGTCTGAGCAGGACGGGGCGGTGCCGTTGGAGAAGTTCAAAGGTGGCATCGTGGACAAATCGTGGCACGCCGACCTTAGCAAGGACATCTCGAGTGAGGATTCGCTTGCATCCGGGAGCTGCCAGTCGTTCCTGAAGAACTGTCCCTACGATTCTCTCAAGAAGGAGGGACCCGAGAAGGTCGCCATCAAGGACAACGTCAATAATCTCGGGGTCAGCTTCGATAGGTCGGTGGGTCCTTCTCCATAGTTGGTCACTCTCCTGAGCGACCTCTCCGAACCGGCGGCGGCGTTCATCGAGTACGCAGTGATCTTCGCGCTGACCAAGATCAGGGGGAACGTCGTGGCTCCGAAATCAAACATCGTCAAAGTGCAGTCGGATCAGCAGGCTTGGTCAGCGGGCGAGCTGTTCACACCCAGCAATGCTGTCATTTTGAGGACCATTGCCCATAGCGACGAAGGCGATTGCCTAATGGTGGAGAGGATGCGTGCCACGTCGTGGAGGAAGCGCCTCGTGACCCACGGACGACCCTCGTGGAGGCGATGGCATCGCGACGTTGCCGCGACGAGGCGGCGGCGGGCCCGCCGCTACGACGCCGTCGACGGCCAGACAGCTGCCAGAGATGGAGACATCAGCAAGGTCAACATCATCATCGCCATCATCAGCATCATCGCTATTACATTACCACGCAGCCAGAAGAGGGGAAGGGATGCGGTACGTGTGAGACTGGGCAATGAGGGAATGGTAGGGGAGGGGCTGGGAGGAGAGGGGAGGAGGGGAAAGGAAAGAACGGGACCCGTTAAAGAGGAAGGGGGAGAGACTACACATTTACCATAATATTGGTTCCGTTACTCGCACTCCCTGTCATGCCCTGCCGCCATTCCGTTCCCGCAGCACCCGCGCCGTGCAACAGGCGGACGGCTCGGGGAAGGACGGGGCGGAGGAGGAGGGGGTGGAGGGGGAGGAGGAGGAGGAGGAGAGGAGGAGGAGGAGGAGGAGGAAGCAGGAGGGGGAAGGAGGAGGAGGAGGGGGGGAGAGGAGGAGGGAGGATAATAACGAAGACCCTCCCCCTGGGAGGAGGAGGGCGGGAGGTGGAGGAGAGTGAACAGTTGTGTATCAAAGCATTGGTTCACATCGCAATTAAATCAGGCCATGCCCTCCCATCAATTCGGAACCAATGTTTTACCCTACCTAGGCTCTGCCTAGAAGGGTTCTTACTCTCTTTGCTTAAAGGGCCGGGCAATGCTAACCGCCCCGGGCGGTTCCCCCAGTCCCCGCCCCGCGGTTCCCCCAGTCCCCTGGGAGCTTTAGCCTTAGCTTTAGCTTTAGCTTAGCTTTAGCTTTAGCTTTAGCTTAGCTTAGCTTTAGCTTAGCTTTAGCTTAGCTTTAGCTTAGCTTCAGCTTAGTGTTAGCTTAGCTTTAGCTTAGCTTTAGCTTAGCTTCAGCTTAGCGTCAGCTTAGCTTTAGCTTAGCTTTAGCTTAGTGTTAGCTTAGCCTTAGCTTAGCTTTAGCTTAGCTTTAGCTTAGCTTTAGCCTAGCTTTAGCTTAGCTCCAGCTTAGCTTTAGCTTAGCTGTAGCTTAGTGTTAGCTTAGCCTTAGCTTAGCTTTATCGTAGCTTTAGCTTAGCTTTAGCTTAGCTTTAGCTTAGCTTCAGCTTAGCTTCAGCTTAGTGTTAGCTTAGCTTTAGCTTAGCTTCAGCTTAGCTTTAGCTTAACTGTAGCTTAGTGTTAGCTTAGCTTTAGCTTAGCTTTATCTTAGCTTTAGCTTAGCTTTAGCTTAGCTTTAGCTTAGCTTTAGCTTAGCTTCAGCTTAGCTTCAGCTTAGCGTTAGCTTAGCTCAAGTTTAGCTTTAGCTTAGCTTTAGCTTAGCTTTAGCTTAGCCTTAGCTTAGCTTTAGCTTAGCTGTCGCTTAGTCTTAGCTTAGCGTTAGCTTAGCTTTAGCTTAGATTTAGCTTAGCTTTAGCTTAGCTTTAGCTTATATTTAGCTTCAGCTCAGTGTTAGCTTAGCTTTAGCTTAGTGTCAGCTTAGCTTTAGCTTAGCTTCAGCTTAGCTTTATCTTAGCTTTAGCTTATTGTTAGCTTAGCCTTAGCTTAGCTTTAGCTTAGCTTTAGCTTAGCTTCAGCTTAGCTTTAGCTTAGCTTTAGCTTAGCTTTAGCTTAGCTTTAGCTTAGCTTTAGCTTAGCTTTAGCTTAGCTTTACTGTTACTACTAATGCTGCTTTCCTAGGGGCTCCAACTCCTAGGTAGGGTCGCACTGGGATAATTTCTTGAGTTTGCGTCCCCCTGTGAACTACGTGGCTAACTGGTGATCTTGGGTCGAAAGCCTCATAGGTCGGAACACTCCTCGGAACAATGCTAACTGATTCTTAATAGTGGTAGAACGGTCACAGTGTTCGATTTGTCGTGCAAAGCATTTAAAACGCCAGTTGCAAACATAACACACGAATTGTAGGACTATCTAGATTGCCACCGCGGGGGCGCCTCCATGAAGTGCGCGCAAACCTATACAACCAGAAAGCAATTCACAAGTACGGCGATGGGGCTTGATACCATAGGCATCAAACAAAAACGGAGTCGGCTGTGCGAACTACGATCCACCGTCAGAACAAATATTCAAGTAGTTCAAATATCTATTTTGAATATGTTTCAAAAACTTGTGTTTGGCCTATTTAGGATCAATTGTGGCGTTTTCCTGGAAACAGGCCCTCTCCGAGCCAGCGCGTTTACAAACCACGCGTGCTCGTTTTGCGAGCCAGGCGGCCGCGGCCCAGAGCCGAACCGCCCTCCGCGGGGGCCTGTCTGCAGGCTGCAGGCCACGAGCTCCGCAAGCTGCAGCAGGTTCGGGTATTCTACGCGGGGGCAGGGGCACTGCCGGTGCGCCATTCGCGGCCGCAGCTTCGGCAGTTGCTGCACTCCGTCGGTGGCGGAGCTCCAGGATCGAAGGAGAAGCAACGGCATAAACATGAACTTTCGGAGGTCCGCGCGGATATCCTGGACTTGCGCTGGCCCCCCCCCCCTCTCTTGCGCGACGCCAAACAATGTGCGGGGGCGCTTCTTTTTGATCGATCTTCACGCTGCGTCGCCGTGCGCGTGGCCGCGACAACAGAGAGTGTGTGTGTGTGTGTGCGTGTGGCGATCGTTCTCTATTAGATAGTCCTGCATGTTGCTCTTGGAGCCGTGGAGCCTGCGTATATTTCCTAGACGCTGTGGGGGCGGGGGCTCTAGCCATTGAAATTCTCTTTGCCAGTTGCCCCTCTGTGTCCAGCGCCGCTTCAGCGGCTGTGCTATGTTCTCAGCTCTGCCTATGAGCCATGGTGCAGGTTTACGCAATCTGCGAGCGCGGTAACCTGTGCAATCCGCTGGTTGGTGCACTGGCAAACAGTGGCACTGCAAGTGCACGCAGTCCTGCCGCGAAATGCAACAAGGACCCTCGTGCCAGAATTGTGCCAAGCACGGTTGTATACTTTGCAGTCGTCGGCAGAGCCCCCAGTATCGTTTCATGGAGGTAATATGTCGTGGTGTTGTCCGCGTCCGTCTCCCCTTTCAATAACAGTGAGCACGTAGCATACCCATTCGCCCTCCAACATCTGCACGAGCTTCCGAGCGTGGGGGCACGCACGGGGGCTGCAGGCGTGCCGCTGCTCCTCCTCCTCCCGCCTTTCCCTGCTCGTTCCTCTCTTCACGCTCCTGCTCCTGCACCTCCTGCTTCGCTCTGCCCCCGTCCTCCCCACACTCTCCTCCTCCTCCTCCTTCTCCTCTTCCTCCTCCTCCTCCTCCTCCTCGTCCTCCTTCCTCCTTCCTCCTTTCTCCTCCTCCCCTGGTCCTCCTGCCTCCCTCCAGCGAGTGGGCGAGCCTGTTGGACACGTGAGTTCCTCCGCCACTCGCGTCGGCCTGCCCGTGGCCTCCTGCCAGCGCAGAGGACCATCACGGCCACCAGTTCCGCCAGCTCCACGACCGCCACGGCCACCACGGCCACTACCGTGCGGGAGCGCCACCTCCTCCATCTCGTCCGCGGTCTCCTCTTGCCACGGCCAAGGTGTTCTCATGTACACCGCCGCCTGGGGACCGCTGCCCCCGGACCCCAGGAGGCAGTGGACATGGACATCGTTTGTCGCCCCCCTCAACGCCCGAGAGTATCCACATCTGGAGCCACCCGCGGTCCAAAGACATCGGCTCTCCGACGTCATGATTTGTTGTGCAACGTGGACCCCAGGTGATCTCGACCCATGCCCTGGGACAAATTTTGGGTCGCAACTCGAAGGGGGTCTGGGGACACGTCCAGATTCGGGCCGCGGAATTCAACAACTCCTCTCTAGGCCTCCCAGATGGGGTTGGAGTAGACGGGGTCGTAGGATCGCTCCGCATCGCCGATGCATCGCCGACGCGGCTCGATGTGGAGCCAGAATTTCTCCGCGCCAGTGGCGCCGATGCAACGTTGACATCGCCGATGCATCGGCGATGCATCGCCGATACATCGGCGATGCGGCGCGATCCTCCGACCCCATGTGGTCGGACCCCATCTGGGAGGCCTCTAGACTCGGGCCTCGAAGCTCAAAACCTCCTCGCCACTCCTCCTCCCGCCGCGCGCAGGCGTGCCGCACCGCGGGCCCCAGCGAGGACTGTTATCCAGCGAGCGCCGCCGCGCCGTTTCCGCCGCCGCGCGCCCTTGAGGGAGTATCTGCGCGATAGCTCTGGCAGCGTGGCGCGGTCGCGCCGCCTCACTCTACCGAGAAGATGGGGTCGGAGGAACGCGCCGCATCGCCAATGCATCGCCGATGCGGCTCGATGCGGAGCCCGATTTTCGCCACGCCGACTCTCCGATGCATGGCCGATGCACTGGCGATGCGTCGGCGATGCGTCGCCTGCCTCCGACCCCATCTACTCGGACCCCATTTGGGAGGCCTCTATTCTCGGCTGTCGCGCTGCTGCTTGATGGCCTTCGCAGGGCCTTCTGCTCAGATCTCCGGCGATATATGTTTGTTTTCAACCCGCGATGTTTCTCTGATTTCGTTTTCGGGTGGCTTTTGTTGTTCCCCGGGGCCATCAACTTGACGGATCCACGAACCCGGTAAGGAATTTGAGCGAATCATTCTTCTGACGCGTGTGCAACATCTTCATTTTGCTTGGCTACAACCACTACCTCCTGCACGTCCTGCTTATCCTCCTCCTCACCCTCCTCCGCCTTCTCCTTCTCCTTCTCCTTCCCACCCTCCTCCTCCTCCTCCTCGTGCTCGTCCTCCCTCCTTCCTCCCTCCTCCTCGTCATCATGTTCCTGCCTCCACAGTCCTTCTCCCCATGGTCATCTGGGGCCGTGGACACGTGAAAGTACGCGCCTCGCGCGCACGCGACAGGTGCATGTTGGGTCCCCCCCATCCGCGCACCTATTTTCACTTGTAGAGAACCTGGCGCGCCCAAGTCGGGTCCTCCCCTGGGAACCCTAGGAACGGGACAACATGTGCCCCGTGCGCACGCGCCAGGCGCATGTTGGGTCCCCCCCTCCGCGCGCGTATTTTTATCGGGGCCGTGGACACGTGAAAGTACGTGCCTCACGCGCACGCGCCAGGCGCATGTTGCCCCCCCCCCCCCCCCCCCCGCCCTCCGCGCATCCAGCGGGCGAAGTTGAGTCACTCGTTGAGGGCCATGGACACGTGATAATCATGCCCCGCGCGCACGCGGCAGGCGCATGTTGTATGCGTGAAGAAGATGACGCGCCTAAGTTGGTTCCCGCCCTGGGGGCCGTGAGCACGTGAAAACACATGCCCTGCGCGCGTGCGCGACAGGCGTATGTTGGGCCCCCCCTCCGCGCATGTCTTTTTTTTGTATCTGGACCGTGGGTACGTGGAAATACGTGCCCCGCGCGCACGCGCCAGGCGCATGTTGGCTCCCCCCCCCGGGGCACTTGCATTTTCATGTGTGAAGAATCCACCGGGCTAAGGTGGGTTCCCCCGTGGGGGCCGTGGACACGTAAAAATACATGCCCCGCGTGCGCGCCAGGCGCTTGTTTGGCTCCCCCCTGAGCGCTCCCCGCTCCCCCTAGCTGGGGCCCGTGGACACGTGAAAGTACATGCCTCACGCGCACGCGCCAGGTGTATGTTGGGTCCCCCGCTCCGCGCGTGTATTTTTGTGTAAAGAAAATCCGGCGCGCCCAAGTTGGGTCCCTCGCTGGGGGCCGTGGACACGTGAAAAGATGTGCCCCGCGTGCACGCGCCAGGCGTATGTTTGGTCTCCCCCCTGCGCGTGCGTACTTTGTTACGTGGAGCCCTTGCCAGGAGAAACGGATGTGGGACGAACGTTATTCTAGGGGAAGGGGCCGGGACCTCTGTGGAGCCGCACAGCGAAGCTGCCGGCTACGTCCCTGGGCAATGCCAGTGCTTGGCCAGAATGGGGTGGTTTCACGCGCACGGTCTGGCAGCAGAGACGCCCTGATTAGATGCCGTTCTTTTGGAGTTGGTTTTCACGGAGTTGCACTTGCGGTCATTCGCGGTATCTTTCTTCCCCGCCCTCCTTCTTCTCCCAATTGCGCTGAACAAAATAAGAGTACGTCCCTGGGAGATGCCCGGGGAACGAAAACGGCACGCACCGTCCGTAGCACAGCGCGGGAGCGGACGAGAACGTCCACTGGGTCCTGAAGGAGGGCATCCTCAAGCACCCATCGTGGCGCCGCAGGGCGAATAGAGGGCGTAGTGAGCACGGCTTGCGCGAGTAGGGATCATAAGGAAGGGGATGCTCATGTTGATGATGTTGATGATGTTGAATATGACGAAGATGATGACGATGATGGTGATGCTGATGCTGTGGTGAGAAGAAGAAGAAGATGATGATGATGATGAAGCTGATGAAGCTGATGATTATGATGGTGATGATGGTACTGATGCTGATGCTGATGCGGATGATGGTGATCATGATGACTATGATGATTATGATGATGATGATGATGATGGTGATGATGACGAGTGTGATGGTGTTATTAATGATGATGCTGATGATGATGACGACGTCCATGCCACAGATTATCATGATGATGATGATGATGATGATGATGATGATGATGAACATGATGATGAACATGATGATGATGATGCTGATGCTGCTGCTGATGATGATGATAATGACGATTGTGATAGTGGTGGCGATGGTGATTATGGTTGTGATATAGTTTGTGTTAGATATGGAGATGTGGATGGCAATGATGACGATGATGCTGCTGCTGCTGATGATGATGATGGTGATGATGATGATGATGATGATGATGATGATGATGATGATGATGATGATGATGCGGATGATGCTGATGATGCTGATGATGATGATGATGATGATGCTGATGATGATGATGATGATGATGATGATGATGATGATGATGGTGGTGGTGGTGGTGGTGGTGGTGGTGGTAGTGGTGGTGGTGGTGTTGGTGGTCGTGGTGGTGATGGCGAGGAAGAGGATCAGGAGGAGGAGGAGGAGGAGGAGGAGGAGGAGGAGGAGGAGCCTAAGCTGAAGCCATGAAAGCGGAAGATTCTGCTGCGCCCCAAGGGCGGCCCGTGTTCCGCGCGGGAAGTGAATCGTTACGACCGGATCGACGTGCCATCCAGAGGCACCATGGCTCTGCCCCCGACGGCCCCGGATCTGCGGTACTCACCAAGCCCCCGATGGAGTTCACGCCATCATCTCCTTCAAGATCCGCGCCATGGCTGTCTCACTTCGACGAGCCCGCACAAAGCCTTGTGGGCGTCGGCCCTGAAACGGCCCTGCTTCTCCCCAAAGCCAAGCTCCCGCACGGGCGTTTCTACACGCTGCTCGGCCTCCGACAGGGTGATCATGACGCTCTCCTGCATCCCCGTGCCGCCAGGCTCCCCAGCAGATTCGAAGCGCATGCTTGCGTCTGCAGGCGACGGCTACCTCGGCGTCCTGCCTGCCTTCGCGGGGCGGCGCCACCTCGGCGACGTGCCCAGACCCCCTCACAGGGCAGTTGTCCGCAGGGTCGGGCTTCACGCTGAGCCCGCCGCCGTCCAGGTCGTCCGACTACTGGGCGGCGACCGCGGGCCTCACCGCCCACCCTGCCTCCACCATGGAGAACGGTGTCCAGCTCATACCGGCACGCCTCCGCCGCCTCCACGTTCTCTTCATCGTCACACAAGGTCACTTCCAAGGGCGCTCGCCACTCCACACCTGCACCCCTGGCTTCTTCGTGACCCCTGCTGTCGGTCTGTACGTCCTGCTGCCCAGACTTATTCGACAACAGCTACTTGGCCTGCTTCGCAGCCCACTTCTTGTCCTT